CTTCAGATTCAATCTCTCTATAAACTTCCCCTCTCTCTAACTGATTCTCTCATAACTGTCACACTTTCTATAGTTAGCCCTCCCCAACTAGCTTTAGATAACTTGTTTCTTAAACTTTACCCTTACTTGTTTCTTAAACTTTACCCTTAAAATATATATACAGAATGATGAAATTAGGGTTCCACCATAAAATCAATTAACAGTATAAGGAGTAGTCCAAGATCATATAAACCCTTAGCTAGACTTGTCCCTCACCAATGTGGGACAAACTCTCCACACACCCTCGCACATGTGGCCGATTTTCAAGCCTATACGTGGACAACAAGTGGGTGACGCGTGAGCACGTGTGATTCTTTGGGCTTTCACACGAGGGACAACTTGCTATGGTACTATGATGAAATTGTAGTTTCACCATATATAAAACCAATTAACAATATGAGAAATAATTCAAAATTATATACGCCTTTAGCTAAACTTGTTCCTCGCCGATGTGGGACAAACTCTACCCACACCATCAACTCTCAACATTATTGAACATAAAAGCAAAGCAAAGTCAGCAGTCAGTTTCAATATTTTTCTGTTCATTCATATGGAACTTTACAATATTTACACAAGTATTTAAGGAGAGGAAAAAGAGCTCAGCAAGGAGCTGTACAAGTCAAAGAGAGCGGCTGCAACAATGACGGGAGTAAAGCTAATCTACCTAACTTTAATTTGACACTAACTGCTGACTTTGCTTATGTAGAAACTTGTGTTTCAATATTTTTCTGTTCATTCGTATGGAAGTTCACAATATTACACAATATTGGCCACGGTTTCTTTATTAAATCGCCGCGCTTTGGTATAACCATCCCAACAATATCCACCGTGGCTATTTTTCCCTTTTCTTATAGTGCACATACACATCACATCCTAGGTATAATGGGCTAAATGATTTGTGCCATGAAGGATGAATGTAGTGATAAAAAAAATTTCTGTTAAGAAAAAAAGAAAGTAAAAAGAGAGCAAAAGTTGTGCCATGAAATTCAAAAAAAGAAAACAAAAAAAATTATATACACACAAACACACACATACACGAAAAAATGGTGATGTTCTTATGTTCTAAGTGCTTCGAAGTTTCTACAATGCCGTTGGATCTCTCCATTGTGAAGAAATTTTCTATTGCTCTACGTTTTCCTTAGACTTTGTTTTCCACCACTTTTCTTGCTTAGCTATTTAACCCTTAACCTCATTACAACCTTGTTGAAGAACTTTGATCTAAGTTGTTACTTGTCATTTGTGGAACCATGATTTTTGGTTGGAGTAGGCTGATCCGAATACTGCTACCTCAGAAGTCCAGTCATGGACTCACCAACTCCAAGTGCAGCTATAGCAAACGGAGCAGGGTGCCACCGTCACTCTACTTTGGGACACTAGGCGGAGTCCAAGCAACTCCGTCAGATGACCATGCTTGTTCCGCAAGACATGTGATCTAATCCAAAATTAGACACAATCAGATCTTATAAGTCTTGGAGTCCCTACAATCTAGGGATAGGCATGTGCCGCAAGTAATCACAACTCCTAAGAGAAAGAAATATCAACTTGCTAGATATCTTCCATGATTCTCCCGACTTAGAACGAGAATTCTATCATAAAAATGTCTATCCCATGGTATAAACACACCCTCTTAAGCTCATTTAGGTAACATAATCTAAACGCTTTAATTCTCTAGCCCACTGCTTGAGTCTCATATCATCCACTACTTTGACCATCGGAGAGCCTTTGGTCGTCACACATCCCTCGGTCTTAGGCTTGCTCAAGGTTTTTTGTTGTTTTGCAGGTTGCTGGAATTTGTGCTCAACCGCTGCTTACGGAGGTGCACGAATTTGGTTCCAACATCATTGATATCGAGTTAGGTGGACAAACAAGCATATGGCGGCATGTATATTGAGATCACTTGAGCGAAACACATTAATCTACAATACGAGTGAATGATTGTTTGTCCCGTGAGTAACTCACTGGTTTACATATAATAATTTAAAAGAGCTTGAAATTGCATTGACATGACTACCTCTCACGCGACATTGATTTTGGTGGAAAAATATGCAAACTGAAGAACAAATGTACCTCTCAAACAAGTAGCCCAAAAAAATGTGTTCCATTCGGTTTAATAATGAACCTACACTCCAGTTGGACTCCAGTAGCCGAAGGTTGCAAGAATTAATATTTCTATGGTGGCGAATCTAGCATGATAGAAAGAAGGGAATAAAAGAAAGGGAATTCGAAGGAACAGGTGGGCTGAAAAGGATGAAAGGAATAAAATAAAGTGATTTAAAGTGAGATAAGAGAGTGGGCTCTCGGCATTGGAACCGAATTCGAGAGAAAGTGGCCAGCTAAAAAGGAATAAAATAATGAAAAATAAATCAAAGAGCAGCTGGAGGGAAGAAAAAGCAGACTTCAGGTGCGTGAAATTAAAAAAAGTAATGAAAGAGAATTAGAGAGGAATGCATGAGAATACAAAAGGAAAAAAAACAAAGAGCTCTCGCTAAGAGAGTACAGGGATGGAGTTTTTGGTTGCAGGTTGCAGAAAAAATAAGGAGAGCTCAGGAGGAAACCTTGTAAAACGGGTTGTACTCATATTGTTGTATGTATTTGTATACTTATATGTAACTAATTTCTTTTGCTAGAGTGAGATCATGAATCTCAACACAAATTTCCAATTCTCAACACAAATTATTTGCAACAAATTTGTACCACTAAACTGTAGTACTGAATGACAACTAATTAATAGTTACTGTCTTCTAAAAAAAAGTACTTTTATTTATTAATAATTACTGCCTAAAAATATAAAAAAAACTTAAAAAGAAACAAATTTAAAATAAAAAATTGTAAAATTTTAATTTTTTTAATTTTTTTAATATATAAAATAAAAAACTAAATAAATAAAATAAATTATTGGTTTGTTTGATCACAATTATAAGTAGCAGATGGTATTTGGAACAAGGTCCCAGGATCAAGCTCTTACTGCCTTTGACCCTGAACCAGAAAGAATTGCGGGGAGGTTCGCTAGAGAAAGATATTTAGTGCAAGATCCAAGCCTACTTGACACTTTTCTTGAAAAGTTGTTTCATGATCCTGAGAGCAGCCCAGCTGTTTTCCACCCTTTGGCCCCGATCTCAACCATCGCACTTGCCCCACCTGCTGCAGGTCAGCCTGTGAGGAAATCATTGGTAGCAAGAGTCAATGCACTGCCAAGGTGCATTGTATACCCAGAACACATCCTCAACAATTTGCCATCCTTTCATGGGTTGCCAAACAGCGACCCCAACATGCATTTGACTGATTTTCTTGAAGCATGTGACAACACCGTAATTAGAGGTTTCTCTCCTGAAGCAATCCAGTTACGCTTGTTTCCTTTCTCTATGAAGGACAAAGCCAAGACGTGGCTACACTCTCTTCCTGCCAATAGCATTTCAACTTGGACACAGTTGCAAGAAAAGTTTCTCAAGAAGTTATTTCCATCTTTCAAGACTCTTGCACTTAAGAAGGAGATATTGACATTCGCCCAAAAGCCAAATTAACGAATCTATCCATGAAGTGTGGGAACGTTACAATGATCTGTAAGTAAAATGTCCTCATGCTGGGTCGATTCTGACCTTCAAGTGAACATCTTTTATGATGGTCTCAATGCCACCACCAAAAGTCAAGTAAAGCATCTGCTAGAGGGTCACTACTGTCGAAATCATCAAAGGAAGCTTTTGAGTTGTATGATATGATGGCTCCGGGATCCCAACAATGGACAGAAGAACAAAAACAAGAGGGGAGTTCTCGAAATTTCTCAAGGTTATCCTAATGTTTCTGGCCAAATTTCTAAGTTGGAGAGGACTCTCAATGCCAAGTTTGATGCCTTAATGCGCCCAATGTCCAAAAAGCGTGTATCATTTGTAGGGAGACAACTCATGACATTATTCAGTGCCCCGACAAGGATGGTTACCCTAAGCTCATGCAAGAGCTTGTCAATATGGTAAATAATTATAATATACCCAGAAATGACCCTTTTTCCAATACATATAATCCCAAGTGGAGGCACCATCCCATTCTTGCTCAATATATAGCCATCCTTTCTAATAACACTAGCAACTTCATTCAATCCACACAGAAATAGTGAGTGTCGAAGTGTTGCCTGAAGTGTTACATGAAAAAATTAGATAATTGATACTTCTTGCAAGAAGCATTTTAAGTGCTCTTGAAACCCAAAAACACTTTCATTAAAAGCGCTTTTAGTTATTTTAAAAGCACTTAACGAATATTAAATATTAAAAAAACATCATGATGAACTGAAATATAAATTAAGTGGATATGAGAAAATAGAACAAATGAGTGGACGTAGCAGCACACTTAAGATGAAATTGCATTCACAAACGAAAATGATTTTAGACAAGTTAATGAAGCAGTGAATTCAAAGAAGATCTAGGCTAGGTTTGAGATAAATAAAACCTTGAGGCCATAGTTTGCTCGAATATTATCTTAAGCATCTCAAGTGAACGCTTCACTCTGATGAGGGATCTCGAAGCACTACTTTGGTGCTTAATAGTAGGGTAAATTAGACTTTACCATCTCAGGTTTGAGAGCTATTGCAACCTCATACATCTTCAAAACATTTCACTTTCATACTTCACGTACTATTTTATTTCAATATAATACATCCGTTACATTTTCCATCCATTAGTCTGTTAAGAGTTGACGTGGTTGCCACATTTGTGCCACGTGGAAAAAATAATAAATTTTTATATATTAAAAATATTATAATAATTTACCCTATTTATTAAAAAAAAATAATAAATAAATAAAACTCCAAACCCACACCCAGATCCCCTTCCTTCCCCCTCGCCTCTCTACAACCCCCGACCCATTTCTCCCTCCACCTCTCCCATGGCTTCTTCTTCCCTATCCCTCATCTCCTCCCACAATGCCTCAAGAAGCTCGCTGCCGACAAGGCCGTCGAGTACATCAAATTGGGAATGGTCCTCGACCTTAGCATCGGCTCCACCGCAGCCTTTGTGGTTTCCAAGCTCGACGAGCTCCTCAAATCTGACGAATTGAAAGACATTGTTGGAGTCCCGACTTCCAAGCTCGCTAGTTGGGTCGACGACGCCGATGAGGTCGACCCAAATCTCAATTTGAAAGGGCGTAGAGGAACTCTACTGACGGATAAGAAGGTGGAGGCGGTGTCGGAGACATTTGTGGTGGGTTTTTTGGATGGGAGGGGAGGTGAACAATTAGGATTTTTGGGGTTTTGGGTGGGGTGGGGGATGGGGTGTTTTGGGTTGTAGGGAAGGGGAAGAGGTCGAGGAAGAATATGGTTTATTTTTTATTTTATATATATATTTATTTTATTTATTTATTAATAGGGTAAATTATTATAATATTTTAAATGGAGACTTTGACTAAAACCTTGTTGGCTTTCAATTTTCGATCCAAGTTCCTGAAATTAATGTGATAATTTATTTATATGTATGTTACTATATTTTTTTAAATTAAAAATTGAAATTTATAGTTGTTTATATTAATGAGATTTTAAATAAAAAATCATAATTTGTGGGATTAAAAATATTAAAATATAAATACATTATTGTGTGTGTGTGTGTGTGTGTGTGTGTGTGTAAACATGGGTACATTCATCAAAATTAACCAAAAAATTATTGTACCAAAACATGGGTACATTCTTCAAAATCACCAAAAAAAATATATATATATATATTAGGCTTAATAATATTAGTGAATTTCTTCGAGTAAACTTAACATGGATACATTCTCAAATAATAATAAATAAACAAATGTACCCATATAAGTTTAAAAATGGATTAGAAAAAAATTGAATAGATTTTATATTAAAAAAAGGGTACATTTTACCTATAACAAATTGGTATATTTAAGAATGAGTACATTTTAAGATTAAAAATTTGAAAAAAATTACATGAAAGGTACATATAATTAGCATGGGTACATTTAGCAAAATTAAAAATGGGTACAAATAAAAAAAATATATGGGTACAAATACAAATAAAACTTTATAAAATATGAGCACAAAAAGAAATTAATATATGAGTACAAATTAAAACTGAAAAGAAAATTGGAACAAATAAAAAAAGGGTTGCAAATTAAAAATGGGTACAAACTAAAAATAAAAATATACGATAAAAAATTTAACCATAAATATAAATATAGTAATTGTAACATTTTTAACATTAAATGAATCTATTTAGAAATAAAAAATATTTTATTATTGAAATAATTAATGATGTTATTAATACCAAGGACTTTGATAAAAAAAATGAAAATGAATAAGGTTTTAATCAAAGGAGTAGCAAAAAGAAGGATGAAAACCTAATTTCTCTTATTTTAAATGCATAAAAAAATATTTTTTTGTCATGTGGCACAAATTTAACAATCACGTCAGCACAAATATGGATCACATATTTGACATGTCATCATTTAACGGTTTACTTAACGGATTTTCTATGAAATTGAAATAAAACGATAAGTAAATGTATGAAATTGAAGTAGATGTAAAGAATTGAAATTCACTCTAAACCTTAGAAGGTAATATTTCACGGTTAAGCAAATCCTTTGGAGTGTGTTTATTTGGGTTCACTAGCAATCACTGTACTAAATTAGACTGAACTATTTATTAGTTTAGTTCCATCTTTGTTACGCTGGGAATACGATTGATGAGACTAAAGGAAACTCGCACGACAAACTCATTCGCTAGGAGGTCTTAGCGAGACCCCCAATAACCATGTGACTGCTAAGCCCTCCCTCCACTTCGTTGCTCTCTGCTATCCAACAAAATCACACCACCAGCTACCACACTCTCTCCCTTTCTCCTCGTTCTACTCGACTGCGACGATGCCTTCCAGATTGCCATTCACACAAGCTCGACGCTGATGCCGATCTACGTGGTCTGAAACTTAAACGCCTAAAACTCCAACGACCGCACTGTCTGCAATTCAGGTCCAACGCCTGCATCGTCTGAAACTCCCATGCCTGCATCGTCTGCAAATCAGGTCCACGGGCGACGCAGCAATCAATCTCACCAAATCACGAAAATCTCGACCCCGATCTGCACCTTCCTTCATGAATCGATCGGTTCACGCACGTCTCCCTTTTCTGGTTAGGGTTCAACCAGGTTGTGCCTAGTTCCCGAATTTGAAGAAAGAGAAACAAAAAAGTATAGAGAAAAAACCCAGAACGCTTGGAAAAAGCAAGAGAAAAAAATGAAAAGAAAAAGGGCAAGAAAAGGTAGAGAGAGAAGAGACAATTAAAAAAAATGACTAAATAATATTTAGATTTCAAAAATAATTTAATAGCCGTTTCATTATTTTTATATTAATTAGTCCATGCTAAATCAGTCCAACTTAGATCTTGAAATTAGTTCAGTCCAAAATAATCCGATGCAATAAACACACCCTTAGAGTATTAACTGATTTTCCTACCCTTTCAATCCCACTAACATGGCAACCACCACATTAATCAAAATTTAATTAAAAAAAAAAAAAAAAACAAACAAACAAACATAGCTCACATCAAAGGGAAATATATATGAACAAAATCAAAAGGAAAATATAAATAATTAAGATCTTTGAAATATGTAAAATGTCTTAAAATATGTATTATATAACATAAAAATATATTTGAAATTCAATGCACTGAAATTTCAATATCGAAATTACTCACCCTCACCAGAATATGTAAAACAAATTAGTATATTTTCATTTTTACATCTCATGCATCACTGTACATAAGAATAATAAGAAATATTTAGGAACTTATATAATTGAGTTTTTTATTTGGTATTTTGGCCTTCCTTTTATTATTTAAACGCAATGAATAAAATTTCATCACATTAAAATTTAAAAAAAAAAAAAATCAATAACAAAAAAAGTTAGATGCAATTCATTTTCATAATTTCATCCAGAATTTTATATTCTCCTACTAGAGCAAAACATGTGTGACATCCCACATCATCTAGGGGAGTGATCCTTATATGTATTTTCATATCCCTACCTAGCACGAGGCATTTTGGAAGCTCACTGGCTTCAGGTTCCGTTTGGAACTCCGAAGTTAAGCGAGTAGTGCGCGAGAGCACTCCCATGATAGGTGACCCATTGGGAAGATCTCGTGTGAGTTCCCAGAAACAAAACCGTGAGGGTGTGCTGGGGGCCCAAAGCGGACAATATCGTGCTACGGTGAAGTCGGGCCCGGGTAGTGGTCCCGCCCGGGCCGGAATGTGACAATTTGGTATCAGAGCCTAACCCTAGCCGTGGTGTGCTGACAAAGACGTCAGGCCCCTAAGGGGGGTGGATTGTGGCATCCCACATCGCCCAGGGAAGTGATCCTTATATGTATTTTCTCATCCCTACCTACCATGAGGCCTTTTGGGAGCTCACTGGCTTCGGGTTCCGTTGAAACTCTGAAGTTAAGCAAGTAGCGCGCAAGAGCACTCCCACGATGGGTGACCCACTGGGAAGTTCTCGTGTGAGTTCCCAGAAACAAAACCGTGAGGGTGTGCTGGGGGCCCAAAGTGGACAATATTGTGCTACGGTGGAGTCGGGCCTGGGAAGTGGTCTCGCCCAGGGCAGGATGTGACAACATGTCTCTAGGGTTATAAAATGTTCATTTACATTCTCAATTTTACATCCTTGCACAGGAAGTTGCTTTAAGAACTAAATTAACCTAAACCATTAAATCAGCATGTGATTCAATATCTTAGTGTATATGGTATTGAGTTTCCACCCATTTCAAGTTCGAAACTCTCTCTTTCTTAAATAATTGTAATAGTTTAAAGGGGCATTTTGATCCAAGTCCAAAACAATCACCTACTTTCAGATCAAGTCCAATGTCATTTGATTTGTTGGTATGTTCATTTTGCCCCTTAAAGTAAAAATAAATATATATTTTAATTTGTTAAATTTGAATTTCAAATGCCTTTATCTACTTTCTCATAAATAAAAAAAATTATAAATCCTTATACAACAAATATGATAAGTTTATCAAAAATAAAAGTAAAACAATTGTGAGAGGTAGATTAAAAAAAATTAAAACCTGTGATAGAAGTACATAAGTTATGTGTTTTTGTCCACCTCTATGGGTGGAAAAGGGTTTTCATTCTACCTCTATGGGTGCAATTATTTAATTTATTTTTATCTACCTGTTTTGGTGGAATGATTATTGCATCTTCAATCCTCCTTGTGTATAATTCATGGCGCGCCCAATCCATCCTCCTCATATGGCCAAAGTTTGTATATATCCATTTGATTCAAAGCTTGTTTTAGTTTCTATGCTTGTACCATGGTGTTTGGGAATCTTTAATTATGATGCCATCTCATTATTCTCTCATTATTCTCTCCTTCAATCTAGCTGCTCTGGCTATTTCTGTCTGCTCATTCAAATTCAAGGCGAGCATTTCAGCAAGCTGTTGTTGAATCTTTACCAGGTTTGGGTTTTGGGAAATGACAGCCATAATAACATGATCAAAGAGCTTTTCTTTACACGCTTGCACACCAACATGTTTCACCATGGTTGTCTTGCCTATGCCTCCCATTCCATGAACCCCGATGACAGTGACGTTATCGTCTTTCAGCGCCTTCATGACCCCATCCATGGCTTGCCTTGTTGCTTCAAATGCTTCGAAATCTCCTGTTGACATGGTGGACTCAAACTCAACAGGCCGGCGAACTTGAAGCGTAACTGTTTCAAACCTTTTCTCTTCATTAAGCTTGTTCAATTCTTCTGTCTCATTAACTGCTCTCTTGCTTAAAGTGTAACGCCATTTCAAATTCGGGCAGCAGCCTCCCAGGCATGTTTTGTTTTCTCCGGCTTCATTATTCAGTCTTTTCGCATCGATTATTGCCTTGTCAGCATCCTTGAGCCATTTTTGAACCTCGGACTTAACTTCGTCTCCATTCATTAACGCCGCATTCACGCTTCGCTGGTAATCATTCTGCGTGGTCTCAAGCTTTTCCACCAGAACTTCAAGAGACTGTATGTGTCTCTTGTAATGCACCAAGTAACCCACATTACGCTTCACTGGATTCCATAACAACTCACCAACTTGTAGTACGAAACTAACAATTTCCATACCTGTCCTTTTAAAAAAAAAAAAAAAATTAACAGAGAAAAAAAATTGTAAGATTCAAAGTTCAAACAATAAATAGGTATCACCGAAAACGGAGAAAAACTATGTAGGACTTTGATAACTAGATGACTAACCTGGATCTTCTTTAGCTTCAACTGGCACAGACTTTGAGAACGTTTTGTGCCTCGGACGAATCTCAATGACTATGAGGGGATGGTTAGGCTTGGTTATTCTGATGTCTGATAACAGAAAAGGTAGACGAAGGATCAGCAGAAAAAAGAATCCAACTAATTTTTTTTTTCGTTTGTAGTTTTTGGAGTAGGACTGGGAACGGACTTTTTAAACACTTTCGAGCATCTCTAATCATTCTTTGAGAAATTTTCAGTTTGTCAGGAGCACGTTCGGGTATACCAAGGGTCATAATACAATTGGTTAAAATTTTTTATTTTATTTTTTAATTTTCAACCAATTGTATTATGTCACTTGATGCACTGTGCACCGGCCGTTTTCTCTTCACACTAGAAATCTCTCTCATCCTTCCCATTTTGAAGTTAAATTAAATTTTAGCTAAACTTCAACTGGACTTTCTGGTTGTCTGTTAATTAAAAAATGATACTTTGGACTTTCTAGTTGTCTGCTAATTAAAAAGAGTTTGTTTAGATTCAGTCCAAAACTCCAACCTGTTTTCTAAATTGAGTCTAATTGTAACATACCTAAATCATAATAAGACTAAAAAATATTTCAACCGAAATGTATTTAAGATAGTATTGAATAGGGATGCACTATCCACACACCCCTGTTTACTTCTCATACATCCCTTGTTAATTTATATTCGTTGATCTTCTTCAATTTATCCGATCCGACGGCCGAAAACGAAAAAAATGTGGGAGAAGTAAAAAGGGATGTGTGGATATCACACCCCTATGGAATATAACTAATTATAAAGAGGTAGATTATAAGCAACAAAATATCTATAATATAGGCAACTGTTGTAAACTTTTCTAGTTTATGTGTGATTGTGTAAATCCTAAATTATATTTGATTCTAGTTATTTTTTCTTATTAGGACTTGTATTCTTTGGAAGAAAAGGATTTCTTCTCTACCTTATTACTATAAATAAGGGCACTACGTAGGGAGATAATACATCTCTCAACACACATTCCCATACAATTCTACAGACATATCTCTCCCTTAATCTCTCTCCTTGTCGTCGGCCCCCTTCCCCTTGTCAGATAAAATAGGTTACAACACATTAGCAGCATGCTCATACCGTTACGCTTAGGAATCTGACGTTGAAGCTTTTTTTGCACCAAACCAGTTTATCTATATCATCACGCAATCTGGTTCTTTCAAAACAATGGTTTTTATCTCAATATTTTTGCAGAAGATTCATCATAATGCATGACCTAACTTTACGTTTTTCAAATTTTAGATTCTACACGAATTGTGTATGCATTGTATTCATAATTGTTGAATTATGTGAATTGATATTGTCATGAATTGCATCAAATATATGTTCATTAAACTACTGGATTAAATATGCATGTATTGAATTAAAATTCCATAATCTAGAATTAAGAAAAAAAATTCAAATTAGGGTTTTGTTGGAAAACCCTCCCTGTTGCATGATGAGTCATCGGCTTCCACAAGCCGTGCCACCATTAACACCAGGCCAGCAGCCTACGTCGGCTTGGCAAGCCTAGCCCAGCCACGAAACTCAAGGCTACATGCCTAGAACCGAAATGGTGCGTTTACGGCACCACTGTCTCAACCCTCGGCCTACAGCCCAGGTCTTCCCCATCGATTTTTTCGACGAAACACGACCGGTTGTTGTGTGATTTAGACAAAACTCATCGTTTTCACCAACAATTTTTTGAAATTCCAGAAGAAGTTCGTGAGTTTTTAATCAGATTCAATCGAATCCTTTCGGTTGCCCCCCTAACGTTGAGATTCCATTTCCGTCGTTCAATTTTGGTTTTCCAATGAACCAACGGCTTGCACCGACCATGGAACACTGCCTAAAGTAGTGTCGTTGACCAGCTTCGACGGATGCCCACACCCAGTGCCGTTAGGGTGGCCTGAAAATCCCACTTGAGCCCTAACGGGCCTCGAATTCCATTCGATCCATTCGCACAACACCTTTATTTTTTTGCCTGCTTGTGCTGAGAGTTTTGACCCACATCACCAGCCCTTTGGGCTTTGGTGATAACCCGACCTGAGAACCAGTTTATCCCATCTAGGCTCTTTCCGTTTCTCCTATGTACTGTGTCACACAGAATCTTAGTTTCTACTGGTGTATATGTGTGTACAGCATCGGATCCCAGCTTCGCTGGAGTATCTATGCTCCCGTGTTTGCATCACAGCTGATCTGTGCCCTTTATGGGCCCCTATTTTGGGCTTGCGCATGCAACCACTTATTTTGTGATGCTAGGCCAACCTGCATGCTCTGCCCGAGACCAAACCTGCCCAATATTCAGGCCTGGGACGCACTGCACCTATTTGATTAGCCCACTAGTAGGCTTTGGCCTTATTTTGGGCCCTGAGTTTAATCGCCTAATTATTTTAGGCCCAATGAGTTTTTATATTTTTCAGCCACACTTTAAATTTGACCCGAACTCTGAATAATTAATTTAATTATAATTATAAACTTGAAGTTCTATTTGCATATTTTCTTGTTGCATATTTCTGTATATATATTTGTGTTTGCCTGCAGGAACATATGAACCTGAAGTTCATAATTACTTCGAAATCTGAAGTTTTTATACCTTGTTTGAAAACCTAAAGTTTTTCATTAAAAACATCACCCATGAAAACCCGAAGTTTTTCATGCAAATTTAAACCAATACATGTCCATTAGAACTAGAATGTTCTACTCATATGTGAATTAATTGATTTTTCTCCATTACACTAACCACATCTTGTCCATCTATTTTGTGATAGAAACATGTCAAATTTGAACAAACTCGACTTCACCGCTTTAGAGGTCTCTAGAATGAACTACCTCAAGTAGGTCCAACATGTGAAACTCCATCTCACTGCAAAGAATTTGCGTCCCGCCATTGAAGATGAGACAGACAATCCGGTTGGCGAAGCTGAGAAAGCCATCGTTATGATCTTCATCCGAGGGCATATTCATGACGCTCTGCAAACTGAATATCTTGCTGAGGAGGATCCACGAGCACTATGGGTCGCTTTGGCTGATCGTTTTGATCACCAAAAGAACATCTTTTTGCCTGAAGCAAGACATGATTGGCAGCATTTGTGCTTCCAAGACTTTAAGTCTGTGAATGAATATAATTCTGAAGTTTGTCGAATCCGATGACTTCTCAAGTTTTGTAACGAAACTTTGACCGAAGAAGATCTCCTTGAGAATACCTATTCGACCTTCTCTGCTACTAATATTGTCTTGCAGCAACAATATAGAGTTCAGAAGTTAATTAAAGTTTTCAGATTTGATCTATATTTTACTTATCACTGAAAATCAAAATCAGCTGTTAATGAAGAATCATCAAGCTCAACTTACTGGGGCGACTGTTGTGCCTGAAGCACACTATAACACAAACCAACGCCCAAAATGCCAAAAGAGGTGTGGTAGGGGTGGCCAGAAGCCACCCCGAGGTCAACAGAGTCAATGCCCACTTAAGTGAGGAAACAAAGCCCAGAAGCGCCCAAATCTCGCTCCCAAGGCCCTGAATTTCAAAAATAAGGGTAAAACACCTGAAACCATGGATGCGGATATATGTTATCGCTATGGTTCAAAAGACCATTGGTCCCGTGTTTGCCGAGCTCCCCAGAAGGTTGTAGTTGAATATCATTCTCGTCGTAAGAAGTTTGAATCACACTTTATGCAAGTGGACAAACCGGAGACTACAATGATGAAGGTTTCTGACTTTCAAGAGGATACCATCCCTATGGAAGATTAGAATCTTAAACATAAACTATTTTTTAGTTGAAATAAGACGTTGGGGTCGAATTCCACAGGATGTTGCTGAACCCCCCTTGTTTTTTGGTTAAATTTTGAACTATTTTTTCCTTTATGCTTGGATTATTTGTTGGTGATTTGTTTTTAGATATTAAGTTTTTAATTAATTACCATCCTTAAATAAATGAAATTATTTTGAATGGATATTTGTTTTTAAGAACTTTTATGCATGTGACCAATTCAAATTAAATTTTCATTCTAGGTATGACTAATGGGGAAGTTAGTTGTCTGGCAGATTGTGCACCGTTTTGCATGAACACATCTATTTCACTAACTTTATACCTAAGAATGCACATCTGACAACCCTCTCAAGCTCATCCAACCTGATTGAAAGATACGGTAAGGCATGTATAATGTTGTCCAATGGTATAATCTTGACCATTGATGAGGCACTTTATTCTCCACGTTTCGGAATAACGTTGTTAGGTTTCAAGGATATTAGAGAAAACAATTACCACGTAGAAAACAAAGTTAAATTTCTGTGCATAACATCCTACGAATATGACCAAAAGCATATTCTAGAAAAGATTGAGCATATCCCGAGTGGTCTATATACTACAACCATACACCCCATAGAACGCCACTATGTGGCTGGCCCTACCTCTGGGATTGCGCACGAAATTACACTTTGGCATGATAGTTTAGGACATCCTGAGCAAATAGCGATGCGCAGTATCCTCAAATCATTACACGGGCATCCATTAACCCGAAGTTTAGGTTCGATTCAAGGAATCACTTGTCAAACCTGTTTCATGGAAAAACTTATCATTAAGCCTTCTTATAACAAGATTCGTTCGAATCCTCCCATTTTTCTACAATGGATTTAGGGGGACATTTATGGACCGATTCACCATTTCTGCAGACCATTTAGATATTTTATGGTTTTGGTTGACGCTTCCACACATTGGTCACATATGTGCTTGTTATCCACAAAGAACGCTGCATTCTCCAAACTTTTGGCTCAGGTTATCAAGCTCAGGGCTCACCATCCTAATTATCCGATCAAATATATTCGATTAGATAATGCTGGAGAATTCACATCTAAAACTTTTGATGACTATTGCATGTTGGTTGGGGTTGAAGTTGAACATCTTGTACGCCATGTTTACACCTAGAACGGTTTGCCATAGGCATTCATTAAGCGCTTACAAATGATTGCTCAATCATTAGTCATATGTACCAAGCTCCTAATCGCTACTTAGGGCCTTGCAATATTGCATACAACTAAGTTGGTCCACCTGAGCTATGTTGCGACACAATCATATAGCGCCCTTCAGTTGGTTACCAGATACGAACCCGACATATCGCATATACGCATTTTTGGTTATGTGGTCTATGTGCCAATTTCACCGCTCTTACATACAAAAATGGGGCCTTAGCGAATGATGAGAATCTATGTCAGATATGATTCTCTTTCGATCATTCGTTACTTAAAACCTTTGACAGGCGATCTGTTTACCACTCATTTTGCTGATTGTCACTTCTATGAGATAGTCTTCCCATCATTATGAGGAGATAAGAATGTCAACGTTCCTGAAGAACGATGCGAAATATCGTGGACGACTCCCACTTTGTCTCATTTAAATCTCCACATCGCTCAGTTTGAAATTGAAGTGCAGCGCATATTAGATCTCCAGATGATAGCTCAGAGCATGCCAGATGTTTTCAACAATCTAGCGCGAGTGACAAAATCACATATTCCAGTTGCGAATACGCCTGCAAAGATAGATCTACCAATTGTACGACAGACTTTCCTCCTGGAGGCCCGGGACACTAATTTGGCTAATCCACGTACATTAGCGGCTAGCCAATCATCTGCCCCTACACAAAAGCGTGGCAAACCTTTTAGTTCAAATGATTCACACCTCTAGAAAAGGAAACCCACGACACAAGCACCTGAAGAGCCTACCGTGAATCCAACTGTTGCTTACTCATTCTATCCAACTCATAAGGAAATTCTAGATTACGGAAGTGTCATTGAAGAGACGAAATTTTCTTCCGAGAATCATGAGATTTCGGTCTATTATGCTAGCTTAGATGATGTGTGGTGTAGAAATGAGATGATCGTCAACGATGCATTAGCATTTGCAGTAGCTACTGAGATCATGTTGAGTGATGACATTAAACCGCATGCCATTGATGAACGTTGATGTAGAACTGATTGGTCAAACTGGAAACAAGTAATCCAAGTCGAACTCGATTCGCTTGCGAAACGTAAGGTGTTTGGACCTGTAACTCATACTCCTCCACATGTGAAGCCCATTGGCTACAAGTGGGTTTTCGTTCGAAAATGTAATGCGAAGAACGAAATTGTGTGTTACAAAGCTCGTCTTGTTGCGCAAGGCTTCTCATAACGCCCCGGGATTGACTATGACGAAACTTATTCACACGTTATTGATGTGATTACTTTTCGCTACTTTATCAGTTTGGTAGTTTCTGAAAAACTGAATATACAGCTGATGAACGTAATAAATGCGTATCTCTATGGGGATCTTGATACGAAAATTTTGCATGAAAGTTCCCGAAGGACTTATGTTGATTGGGTCAAATATTTCCAAATCCCGGAACACACTCTCAATTCGGCTAAGGCGTTCACTTTACTGTTTCAAGCAATCCAGAAAAATATGGTATAACCGTCTGAATGAGTATTTAACTAGTCAGGGATATATGAACAACGAACTATGCCCTTGTGTGTTCATTAAGAAGTCACATTCCAGATTTACGATTGTTGCAGTATATGTCAATGACATGAATCTTATCAGAACTCCTAAAGAGCTCGCGAAAACTGCTACGCACCTGAAGTTGAAATTTGAGATGAAAGATCTAGTAAGGACTCGATATTGTCTCGGTTTCGAGATAAAGCATTGTTCGGATGGAATCTTAGTTCATCAATCGAACTACACCCAAAAGGTGTTGCGCCGCTTAAACGAGGATAAAGCTAAGCCTTCAAGTATTCATATGGTCGTTCGATCGCTAAATGCAAAACGATATCTTTTCCATCCGAATGAGGATGATGAAGAGATTTTAGAGCCTGAAGTTCCTTATCTAAGTGCAAAAGGCGTTTTATTGTATTTAACTCAATGCACTAGACCCGACATTTCCTTCTCTGTTAATCTTTTGGCAAGATACAGTAATGCACCAACATGCAGACACTAGACTGGCGTTAAAGACATCTTTCGCTACCTTAAAGGTACTACAGATTTGGGCTTGTTCTATCCCTACAGATCCTTGAATGATGCCGCACTCTCTGCTTCTCAAGTCGATTATCTCCTTATTGGTTATGCTGGCGCATGATACTTATCTGATCTGCACAAGACGCGTTCTCAAACGGGTTATATCTTTACTATTGGAGGCACCACAATCTCTTAGAGGTCAACTAAACAAACCTTAGTTACCACTTCGTCTAACCATGCTAAAATTCTCGCCTTACATGAAGCAACTCAGGAATTTTTTTGGTTGAGAGCAGTAGTGAACCATATTTGAAGCTTCTGCGATCTTTACCCCGTTGTAGATGTCCCGACGACGATTTATGAAGACAACGCAGCATGCATCAAACAACTCAAGAAGGGTTACATCAAAGGAGACAACACCAAGCACATTACGCTGAAGTTCTTCTTCTCACATCAACAACAAGAGCATCAGAAGATTGAAGTCACGCAAATCCGTTCACAATATAATCTGGTCGACCTCTTCACCAAATCAGTGCCGAAGACGATGTTTCAGAAGCTTGTTCAAGGGATTGGTATAAGTAAACTTTCTGAGTTGTAACATTACTAGTTCTTTTTAGAATTGTGTCAAACTTAGAGGCAGTATCCTGAAGTATACTTGCTTGATTTTAATGTACTCTTTTTCTCTATGATTAGGAGCATTTTTCCCACTGGGCTTTTACCATCTAATGAGGTTTTAACTAGACACCCACCTTGGACTGGTCATATTCCTGATGACATCCCGTAGACGTTTCTTTTTACTTTGCATTTCTCATGCATTTTTCCTTAGACTAAGGATTTTGTTCCTACTCTGGTTTTTTACCATAGCCATAGGATTTTTTGTGATACTTACTTCTTTATTCAAGTTCCTACCTTATTGAGAATAAGCGTTGTTCCCATAATCAGTGTCAACGAGTCGACTTCCTCAACCTCTATATGATGCTGAATCCACTTGAGTATTCACACACTCAAGAGGGAGTGTTGTAAACTTTCCTAGTTTATGTGTGATTGTGTAAATCCTAGATTAGATTTTATTCTAGTTATTCTTTCCTATTAGGACTTGTATTCCTTGGGGAAGAAGAATTTCTTCTCTACCTTATTACTATAAATAAAGGCACTATGTAGGGGAAATAATATATCTCTCAACACACATTCCTCTACAATTCTACAAATAAATCTCTCTTCTTGCAGCTGACCCCCTTCCCCTTGTCAGATAAAATAGGCTTCAACAGCAACTAAATTAAATTTCAGCTAAACTTCAACTAGACTTTCTAGTTGTATGTTAATTAAAAAAAGATATTTTAGACTTTCTAGTTGTCTGCTAATTAAAAAGAGTGTGTTTAGATTCAGTCCAAAAATCTAATTTGTTTTCAAAATTGAGTCTACTTGTCACATACTTATATAATAATAAGACTATAAAATGTTTCAACCGAAAGTTATTTAAGATAGTATTGAATACAACTAATTATAAAGAGGTAGATTATAAGCAAAAAATATCTATAATATATGCAAATAAAAACGATTTATCTGTGATATACGTAGATTATCGACAAAAAAGTTATGATATCAGTATATTTTTTTAGTTGAGCAATAGCATTACTGCATTAGTAAGTTAGATGTTAGATTAGCTACCGATGGGGTTCGAAACCACATCGTCATGCAAGGGCATGACACCTTTCCATCACTGTGGTAAATAATCACTTGCATTAGTATATTATTTAGTAAAGAGACTGAATGCTCTACAGTTGAAGGAATTTATTTTTACAATTCCTTAAAATTTTCAGTTTTATCACAGACTAAACAAAAAGATAATCAATGGACCTATTTTTAGAAAGTGGACTATTCCTAATAATAACATCACAAAATTGGCTTTATATTGAATTTATCCTTAAAAAGAATACTATGATGTCTAGTTTCTGAGAGTTACAACAACTAGCGGCCTATATAACTAAACAAAAGATGTTTATTAGTGATTGTAATTTGGAGTGCGTGATTACTATTTTTGAGTATTTACGACCATTAAAAAAGATATCTATAATCTATTTACAAGGAACTAGTAGAGTTCATTTTTAAGATGGTAAAGACTTAGTGCGTATTATGGTTAGGATTGGGCCTTTAAATTCCAACTTTAAATTTCAAGTAAATAGTTTCATTTCTAAATTTTTACAAGTCATAGTTATCGTCTCCTTCACTCTTACACACCCACTACCCAAGCCTCTGCCACCATCATGCCACAACCACCTTGCCATCACCACCTGCACCACGCCCACCATTATCGTCGTTAGTGCCGTCACCGCAACCGTTACTCCACTCCCATCACCATTGTTGAAAACACCACAACTATGACTTTCACTATAAACACTGCTACCAATCATCAAACAGCCTTCACCACCCACTAGACTATCACCTGGCCCCTAGCACATTTACCAACTTCCACCTTCTGTATTTAAATTTTATTATACTTTTAAATTGGGTAATGTTAGCAAGATCAAATTTCTAAATCAAATTTTGTAAAGCAAATGATGTAAATGTTGATGATTGAATTATTACTTAACTGTTGTTTAACGTGTTTATTTTTTATTAGTGACACATCATTTGGTTTGCAAATCTGATTTAAAAAATTAATCTCTTTAACATTATCCTTTTAAATTATTAGACAAATAAAAAAGCTCACAAATTCTAAAAATATTAAAATCCATAATTTCAAATTCTGTCATTTTGAAATTAATTAGTAATTTTAAATCTCCTCTTCTGGACAGAGAGTTAAGAAAATAACTTAGAAATAAAATGACATCCGTAATTCACTCTCAATATCTAATCTAAGTAAATTAAATACATAATTTCCAACAGGTTGTACATTTGCGTTTTCTATTTATACCTGACAACTTGATGATCTGAGATTTGATTCACCAACTAGACTCCGCCGCCATGGCCGTCCAGTTCAACTTCGACTAGGTTGCTGTTGGGGTGGGGTGTTAGCACAGCTACTCACTCATCACATAATTCTCTCTAGTTGTAGAGCTGTAGATGGACTCACTGTTCTAAAATTCGGTCACAAAATCGTAACGCATACTAGACGGACGCCTGGACAGGATTAGGCGGAGCTGGCAGGGGCTGGGAGGACGTACATGGAGAACGCCGAAATCTGGAAAAATATATTTGTTGCAGAGGCTCCGTTCGGTGTTCGCTCGAAGAAGAGCCTACCTTTTTATCTCTTTAAGATGGTCCCCCCCATCTTCTCTTTTCCTTCTTTTATTTTCTTTTAATTTATTAGCCGTCATCTTCTCTTATCCTCCTGTCTCACCAAAACAATCATTTTATGATCTTAATTTTTTATATTCTTTTCTAGGTATTATTTAATGAATTTTTTTAGACCACACCATATAATATGGACTCAAAACTCTCACCTTAAACATACATTCTTTAAAAAAATAAAAAATAAAAAAAACATGTTAAATAATAAATTGAATTAAATGATATAATATATATATATATATATAATTTACTCAAAATTCTCTAGCCTTACCTTGACGCTGGGTCTTATCTTGCCACCCGACTATCATCTAGATAGACTTGTATGCTTTTAAATTTTTGTTCCCTACTTTGGATGTTAGTACGTTCTTTCTAAAACAAAATTTTTAATTCTTTGGCAAACGGACCCTATGCATCAGAATTCAGAAATGCTTTTTATTTTCATAGTTAGCATAAAATCATCTCCACTTTCGAGCCTATAGTTGCTTAGACATTTATAGGACCTGGATCCTCTTTGAGGCAAACCCTCAGGATCCTGCTGAGCGAGAAATACGGGCCGTTGGATTTCGATCCAACGACTACAAAGATGAGAGTCTCTCTTAAAGTTATAATAATTATAGCCGTTGGATCGAAATCCAACAGCCCGTGTTTGTCGCTCAGCAAGATCCTGAGGGTTCGCCTTGGAGAGGATCCAGTTCCACATTTATAGGCTGTCTATTTTGTTTTGGGGTAGATAAATTAATCTAATTACTAAAGTCAAATTAAGAGGGGTAAAAAGGCAAAAACACCCATGTAAGTTAGAGTTAAATATAGAATAGGCCCCTTCATTGCATTCTTGCTAGATGGTGATCTACAAGCTATTCCGGCACGAGTAGTCATGCCCCTGATCACAAAAACTTCTGAGATATAGACCCTATTGGCCCAGAAGACAGGACAACGGATTTGGGGACAATGGCCTGGGCAGAAGGGGAATTTCATTGAAATTCTACTCTGAAATTCAAAGATGTGGTAGAAAGGCTAGCTACGTCATCCACAGGATCACGTCGTAAATGGTTCATACAATTGGGAGAAAATACAAGACATGTTGTCTGAACAAAACCACATCCAATGGCATCCCTTCTTACTCCTATAATTGACAAGAACTTATCCATACTGAGTTCGTCGCTATGTTAACATTTTAAATCAATAATGCAGTACTATATAAAGAGATATTTACACATATCAATCTATATTGGATCAAGACGCCACGTAGTTTCCCGAGGGGTGCATGCAAAACTTGCCAACCCGCTTGGGGGCTGTTAAGGGCTTCCCCCTGTTTTGCCGTCGTCCTTGTTTTGATTGGTCGTTCCGGGTGTGCTTTGATATGAAAGAGCGACAACTTTTTCCAATTATCAAGTTGAACACAAACGTCCATGAAAACATGCCGTGAATTGACGTAGCATTTGTCATTATATAAGGGCGGCGGATAGAATTTGAAAAGAGTGTCGGTTAATATCTATAATCCCATCCTTCAACGTTGGATTTGTTCTTTTCTTTCCTTTTTGCTGCAAAACCCGACGATATGGGACCAGGGACATGAACCTTCCCTGCTTTCCGCACACAGCCAACCCTTATCCTTTTTTTCTTTTATCAAACGTCAACCCTTAAACAACCAGTCATAACCCTAACTCAACCCAAAATTGAAAGGGAAAATGAAGTAACAATTTTAGCTTCACACGTGAAACTCAGATGCGAGCTATTAATGAAATTTTTAATTTTGGATTTGAATTCTTACGGACTTATCCCTTAATTTCTAATTATTTTATACAAAGTTATCTTCTAAATACTCTATAACCACAAAAATTATTAATCCAATTTAGCCTATACTTTAAACAAATAATCTAGCCCATATACCTAAGATGTGATGTGTAAGTGCACTACAAGAAAAGGGAAAATAAGGTAAAGAACCCGTGGCCAATATGAAAAGGTGACTTTTTACCACGCTTCGAACTGTGGCCAGACCTTCTAGTTCAAAAAAGTTGACCAACAGTACACGAAGTATGGAATGGAATGGAATGGCAGGGCAATGAAGATAAGAAAAATATCATAATTACAACAAAATCAAATAACAATCTGATTCCTTATAAGATTCATCACACTAATATTCAATCATCATACAATACACATGAAATACGGAAATCAAAGCATATTTGTAAAAATGCATAAAGTGCAAAAGAATGAAATCGATCAAAGCAAGCGTAGCAGCTCTTGAACTGACCCCCTTGAATGGAATAAGTTATCAATGTAGTGTATCAGAGGATCCAACGCAGTAACTGTCCTTTGCATCTGAATAAAAGCCGTTGCCTCTGACAAAATAGAATACCAAACAAACTGTGTTACCAATCAAGTCCAACCCTCATGGATCAATATAGAACTAGGGTTACAGTTATAGCAAATAAGCAACAAGTATACCAAGACATGCATGCAGTGCAAAGCAGAAGCACTTACATGCAGGCATGGCCATTCTCGGTACAAACAGAAGTAGCCTTCTACTTCCTATATCCTTTATGAATTAACTCTAGTAACGAAATAGGTTTGTAGTTTTGTGAGATTCGACTGGTATGGAAGCAGGGACTGCTGCCTTGTTTTATAGCTAGGGCTTTCATCAAATCCAGCCTATTAACGAAAAAGATTTCAGCCCAAACTCTATTAAATCAATTAGAGTCCCATAATGATTCTATATCTTGTGTTTACGTAATAAGGGTCCTCATAGATTGTATAGGGTTAAGGCTCCAATATATTTACTCCATTAGGGCACCGAGAATCCTTGAGAGTCTAATGTCTTGTAAACCAAGTCATCTAGCCTACCAAATATTCTCAGCATAATTCATTGTCATTGATATTAGAATTTACATATATAGCATTCATAGTAAGTTCATGTTAATTATGCTCAATATCTCAACCTAAGATTTTTTTTTTTTTTTTTTTCTTCTCTATATTGGATATGAAAGAAAAGAACCTGCAACTGGCCACGGTAGCTATCGCAACCTAGTTTGAGAGCAGATAGTATGACGACAATGATGAGTTACGTACTAGAATAGTCTTACCATCTACTTTTAGCCTTTTGAAGAACAGTGACTTTGTAGGAAGGTTTTGCAGTGCACCCGCAAGAGTCTTTCTACTAGCCCATCCGTAGTAGGGGTAAAAAACTTGTTTATATGCTGTGTTAACCGGATCCATGAGAGTATTTTCGCTGTCCAAGTGAAAAAAGAAGAAGAACATGTGAACGGAAATATAAATCAAGTGGATATGAGAAAATATAACATATGAGTGGACGTAGCAGCACAACTATGGATGAAATTGTATTTGCAAACGAAAATGATCTTATAAGACATGTCAATGAAGCAATGAACTAAGAGAAGATCGAGGCTAGGGTTGAGATAAGTAAAACCTTGAGGCCATAATTTTCTCGAATATTATCTTAAGCATCTCAAGTGAACGCTTCACTCTGATGAGCATTCTCGAGCTACTACTAAAGTGCTTAATGGTATTCTTCTGTATGTCATGGTCAAGCAAATCTTCTAGGGTATTAACTGACTTTCTTGCCTTTACAACCCCACTAACCTGATAACCACATCCACATTAATCAAAATATAACTACAAAACCCAAAGAAACACTCACATCAAAGGGAAGTATTGAACAAAATCAAAAGAAAAATATGAATAAAATCATCTTTGAAATATGTAAAATGTCTTAAAATGAGCGTTATATAACTTAAGGGCTTGTTTGAAAGTGCTTTTAAAATGACAAAAATTGTTTTTAGAGAAAGTGTTTTTGAGTTCTAGAAGCACTTGAAGTGCTTTCTGGAATGATCACTCTTCTAAGAAGCAGTTAAAGTGATTTTTCCGAATTCAGTTGCGTTTTTACTAAGGATTTATTCTAAAAATATTTTCATCATAAGCAATTTCAGATGTTTTAAAAACACTTAAGAAATCAAACCCCTCATCAATCACAATCCACCAAAACCCTAAAGTACACCCAAATTTTGTATAAAACTTTAGAAATTTGATTCAAATTAATGTAGAGGAAAATGACAAGGTATCAAGCCAAATCTACCCATCGCCAAAAAGCATCAAACTCTCATCAAGTTTAAGAGATGAATAATACCTTAGCAGAGTACTCGATGTCGGCGAACTTCATAGCGACGCCTAAGTGTCGAATGAGAGGAGAAACGAGATGGCAGGATTGAGTGAACTTGTCAATTTCCATGGTTGGTACCGGAGAATTCAGCTGAGCGGCCAGTTGTTCGAATTCATCTGCCAGCCTTGTCAGAATTCTCTCATCTTTCCTTCCCGCTACCCTTGCCATTCTATAATTTTTGTTCACCATGTCTCTGCTCCTCTCTCAGACTTTTATAAGTCAACCAGTCAAATGGTCGGTTTATATTTAATTTTAATAATTTTTCTTTTGTATAACAAAAATTATTCAATGTATAAATTAACAGTGGTTCATCTGTTAGAGCAATTCCACCCCTCCCAAATGGGGTAATTGGGTGACTCAATTCCGAATCAACAAAAGCATCTGTAGCCCACGCCCATCAGTTAGGCGATCTTGTGGGCCCAACACCGACGGTCCGAGCCATCGCGCTATTCCCACCCACCTCAGCGCCTGAATCTATATGGCGTGTGTGTTTGTGTACTAGTTAAAGGCTTTCACTTGCGCTATTGTTTCGTGCCCAAATCGGAAAAGTTGTTAAATTTATACATAACTGCTTAGAAATTTGTACTTACTCAATCTAGAAGTTGCTGAGTGGCTTACAGAGTGTTGTTAGTTGGGTTAGCTTGATTTGGCTATGGAACTGTGCCATTGATAGGTTTGATTGTGATTTGATTTCTTGCTTTGAGCTCCAGTTTGATGATGACTAGCTGAGGGGGGTGTTATGTTGTGATTAGAATTGTGAAAGACAGATAGATCCTTATCGAGCTCCCGTAATTTGGCTATGGAAATGTGCCATTGGTAGGGTTGATTGTGATAGATCTCTTGCTTTGATGGAACTGTGCCAAAGGTGGATAAATCCTCCTAAAGAGCGAGTATTCTTGTTTCTTGTGCTCCCGGAAACATCAAGTGTTAATGCTTTTTGTGAACATGGATGAGAAAATAAACTTCATCTTAAGAGTGAGTTTAGTAGAATCAGAAAGAAGAAGGAAAAAATGTGTTTGACAGCATATATTATGGGTAATGATTTTGATGGTCCTTCGATGTTCGAATGTGGATCTGTTTTTACCTCTGCACAAGAACCTTGTGGTTGGCACTTTAGGAAATTAGATCAGTTTGTAAATAACATGACACTATTATAACTCGTATGTGGAAATATGCTAAATTAGTCCCCCAAATATTTGTACATATGGAGTCACCAAATTTCCACATGTTTTCTCAAGATTTGTTAGTGCAAGATTTCCGCCAATGTGGTTGCTACAATTGAGAATGGCAATCTCACTTTATGCTGAACCTTGGTCTTTTCTCTCATCTACCCTTGCCGCCACTCTGAAAATAGTTTCTGATAGAAGTTCTACACTCGGGCTTACTTAATTAGCTTTTTTTCTGAACTTTGCTCCCATCATGATTTTTTGACAGCTTGGGTGGTGGAGGTTGCTGAGAGTGCTGCTTCCTTGGTTGCCAGATGGCAGGGGGTTGGTTTTACTCATGATGTGTTGAACACTGACATTATGAGCATTTTGGGTCTTACCATCAATTGTGGTCTATTTGGATTTCTGGATGTATTTGATCCAAGTTACACGCTGAATACCACGGATCTTCCTGGGAGGAGATATTGTTTTGCAAATCAGCCTGATATTGGGTTGCGGAATATTGCACAATTCACCAGAACTCTTGTAGCTGTCAATTCACCAGAACTCTTGTAGCTGTCAAGTTGATAGATGATATGGAGGTGAATTACGCAGTGTAAGGGTACTTTTCATTCCTACACGTTTATCGTAATTAAATGTATGTTGAAGTGGGAATTAATTAAATTTTTTATTTTCTGGGGATCTTTTACAGATATGGAACCAAATTCATGGATGACTATTAAACAGCTGATCCCCGAAGTGGATTACACAAACTTTTTTTGGTTGCTATCCAATATCAAAGCTGATCCTAACATTCCCGAAGAGGAGTTATTGAACCCACTAAAGGCTGTTCTATTAGACATTGGACAGTAGTGAAAGGAGGTATGGATCAGCTGGGTGAAAATCTACGTAGAGGAGGTAAGATGAACTCTGGTTTTCTTATGATTTCTATCTTGGAAAAGTATATTGGTTTGATACCGATACTGTATTCATCATAGATGTTATTTCGCTCAGAATATTTATTAAACTCATCCAGTGGCTAGAGTCTCGTCAAAAGCGAACATGTCATTTGATTTTCTCACACATTGTGGTTGCTACTTGTGCAGCTGGCCACAAGCGGCATCTCAGATGAGGAGAGGAAGGCATCAATGAATGCGGCGAACCCTAAATATGTTCTCAGAAACTACTTGTGCCAGAGTGCCACCGATGCGATATGCAGATAGATGGATAGGGAAAAGGAAGATCTGACCTGAGGGCAGCAAGATCATTGGCAATTGGGGTGCATAGGTAAAGAGAACAAGAAGGAGAGTAGGGAAAAAGCAACAAAAAGCAGAAATAGAACGCAAAGAGAAAAAGCAAGGATTGGCACCGACCCTAAACGGAAATAGGCTTTGCGGCAGAAGAGAAAGCTTAGTTTTGTTGCTGTTCTCACTCAGGGAGAGAATGACTCCCCTCGATTGTTGGATCATTCACTTCACACATGCGTTTTTGCCTTTCTCTCTTTCTCTCTGCCTTTTTTCCTCTCTCTCTCTAGTCTTAAAAAGCTTCAAACTTTTGGCTTCTGGGTATTCAAAGGAAGAAGGAGGAGGAGGAAGAAGAAATAGGTACAATTAGAACATGAGATTATCAATTAACTTCATTAACTCCTATGTGAATTAAATGATTGTTGAGTTGTATTGGGTTTTCTTCTAAATCTTTCAAATTTTTCCATTTGGGTTTTGTCTCTGATATCATTTCTGGCATTGGATAGCTGCTGGACTTGCTTCTTCATCACCATCTTCTTCCTTTTGTCTCCAAACTTTTTTAGTTTGTTTTAATTTATAATTTTGGGTGAGGACTTCTGATCAATTGTTCCAGCTGGGTGAAGAATAATTCAAGTGTGGCCACTTTTTTGGGATGATTTTAGGGGGCATGTGGCCATCTGGAACATGGTGGGGTGGGGGGGCGAAGCTACAGTGTGCGTTGGAGAAAAAATGGAGGAAAGTGGGGTAGGGTGAAGCTACAGTAAGTGTCGAAGACAGAGAGGTCGAGCTTGCAGAACCTACATGGTGGTCATGGCAGGGAGGAAGCTCAACGTTGGGGAGGTAGCAGCGAAGAAGAACCGCGAGACTTAATTAGACGGAAACTGGGCTTGACGTCGTAGTCATGGCAGCAGCCATGGTCTGCATTCAGTGGCTTGCGAGGCGACGTCTGCCAACAACTTTTTTCACGGTTAGGAGCAAAACGCAAAGGTTTTTAGTCCTTTAAGGGTAAATTAGTAATTTCATATCACATTTTGATTATAATTATCATAAACTTAGAAGAGTGGTTATAACTTATAATTCTAAATACGGTCCAAATTTTAGTTATTTTTCCAAATTTTCCTATTTTATAAGTAAACAAGCTATAATTGATAAGCAAAGACGTGTTGATGAAGACTTGTAAAGTGTTATGTTTTAATTTTAATAAGAGTACTATTATTCATACACATTTTTTTACTTCTTACACACACTTGTTGATTTATGTCTGTTAATTTTTTTCAATTCATTTGATCTAGTGGCCAAAAATTAAGAAAGATGTGTGATAGGTAAAAATGGGAATATGGATTCCATCCTTTTATAAGATCCCACATCGCCCGGGGGAGAGGAGGTGATGTGCCTTATATGTACATGCCCAAGAACAAACCCATGAGGGCGTGGCCCAGAGCGGACTAAACCTTAAACCATGCGGACTGGGATGTGACAATTTAATATCAAAGCCACTCTCCTGCCGAAAGCGTGCCAAAGAGGGCGTTGGGTCCCTAAGGGGGGTGGATTGTAAGATCCCACATCGCTCTGGGAGAGGAGGTGATGTGCTTTATATGTACATGCCCACCTCCCTATAGAGAGATGCATTTTGGGTGGAAGCCCAAGAACAAACCCGTGAGGACATGGTCCAAAGCGGACAATATCTTACCATATAGACTAGGCTTGGCAATTTCTGACACGACTCGATAACCCGACACGACACGACACGAAATTAACAGGTGTTTGGGTCGACACGATAACGAATCGGGTCGTTATCGGGTAACCTGATAAGCACCTGTTAAGATAACGGGTTGGTTCGGGTATACACGTAGGTAACACGATACACGATAAGCAGAATATTATTTTTATAATTTTATAACCCTAAAAAAATACTGTCATAATTATATACATTAATTTTACAATTTTATACCCCTAAAAATTATAATAAATATATATATATATATTAAATTAACTATAAAATTTATAATAATTATAATAATTATATATACTATAATAATTATACCCCCAAAATATTAAGTCTATCTATAATAATTATATATATATATATTAAATTTTATAAAAACTATAATAATTATTAATTAATAATTTAATATGCATGATGCATTGCATGATTTTGCATCCATTGAAATTTGACGTGATTTGTTTCCATTCAAATTTCAATAATCAATTTCTTGCCATTGCCAACTTGCCGCCCTTTTTGAAAAAAAAAATGGAGGGAAAATGAAAATGTTAAGAAAAGTTGAAAATAAAACAAAAAAGTGAGGGAATTAGGGAAAGATGTTGAAGGGAAAAGTGAAAATGATAAGAAAAAGTTGAAAATGAAACAAAAAAGACAGGGAAAAATGAAAATTAATAGAAGTGGTGCGAAATTTTTTTTTTTATTTAAGTTATTAACTTTTTATCACACACATGACTGTCATAACATATCTCACTATTTTTATAATGACACACGTGACACGTGATGTATGTACTATTCCGTGTACCAGTCAATTATAATTTATACGTACAAAATAAATAGATTTAAATCTACTTAATAAATATATATATACACACACACACACGGAACTTGATTGATGGCATACGAATTCTCCAAAACTAATTTCAACGATCCCAACCGTCAAACTTGTTTGTATATGCTTTGAGATCACATCAACAAAAAATCATAAAAAATAAACATTCAGAGATCAAGTAACGGGACAAAGCTTTTCAACGGTTATAAACGAAAAATCACGATTTAACGGTTATTTTAACTCCGATTTTGATGATTTTTTATAAATACACTCCTTGACCCTATATGAATACAATGAATGAATTCGATCTTCAATTTAAAATATTTACGCAAGTGGATACCACAAAATCTTATGTTATACTTAATGAAAGTATAAATAAACTCTAAGTGTTAGTCAATCTATCGTTTTACGAATTCTCCAAAACTAATTTCAACGATCCAAACCGTCAAAATTTTTTGTATATGCTTGGAGATCACATCAGCAAAAAATCACAAAAAAAAAAAATTCAGAGATCAAGTAACGGGACAAAGCTTTTCAATGGTTATAAACGAAAAATCATGATTTAACGGTTATTTTAACTCCGATTTTGATGATTTTTTATAACTACACTTGAATACAATGAATGAATTCGATCTTCAATTTAAAATATTTACACAAGTGGATACCACAAAATCTTATGTTATACTTAATGAAAGTATAAATAAACTCTAAGTGTTAGTTAATCTATCGTTTTACAAATTCTCCAAAACTAATTTCAACGATCCAAACCGTCAAAATTGTTTGTATATGCTTGGAGATCACATCAGCAAAAAATCACAAAAAAAAAACATTCAAATATCAAGTAACGGGACAAAGCTTTTCAACGGTTATAAACGAAAAATCACGATTTAATGGTTAGTTTAACTCCGATTTTGATGATTTTTTATAACTACACTCCTTGACCCTATATGAATACAATGAATTAATTCGATCTTCAATTTAAAATATTTACACAAGTGAATACCACAAAATTTTATGTTATACTTAATAAAAGTATAAATAAACTCTAAGTGTTAGTCAATCTATCGTTTTACGAATTCTCCAAAACTAATTTCAACGATCCAAACCGTCAAAATTGTTGTATATACTTGGAGATCACATCAGCAAAAAATCACAAAAAAAAAACATTCAGAGATGAAGTAACGGGACAAAGCTTTTCAACGGTTATAAACGAAAAATCATGATTTAACGGTTATTTTAACTCCGATTTTGATGATTTTTTATAACTACACTCCTTGACCCTATATGAATACAATGAATGAATTCGATCTTCAATTTAAAATATTTACACAAGTGGATACCACAAAATCTTATGTTATACTTAATGAAAGTATAAATAAACTCTAAGTGTTAGTCAATCTATAGTTTTACGAATTCTCCAAAACTAATTTCAACGATCCAAACCGTCAAAATTGTTTGTATATGCTTGGAGATCACATCAGCAAAAAATCACAAAAAAAAAACATTCAGAGATCAAGTAACGGGACAAAGCTTTTCGACGGTTATAAACGAAAAATCAAGATTTAACGGTTATTTTAACTCTGATTTTGATGAATTTTTACAGCTACACTCCTTGACCCTATATGAATACAAAGAATGAATTTGATCTTCAATTTAAAATATTTACACTAGTGGATGTGAATATCACAAAATCTTATGTTATAATTTATATACTTAATAAAAGTATGAATCAACTATAATATTAATAATTATATACATTAATTTAATAATTTTATATCCCTAAAAAGTAAAAACTATAATAATTATATATATTAAATTAAATTTAAAAATTGATGACCATTGGATCGGCTGAGATTAAATCTCAGCCGTCCATTTCATAATTATATATATATATATATATATTTTATTAAATTTAAAAAATTGATAACCATTGGATCGGCTGAGATTTAATCTCAGCCGTCCATTGTGTAGGTAATCAACACTCTCATTAACTCAGCTCAATCAAACACTCAGTCTCTGTCTGTCTCTCTCTCTCTCGAATCCTCGATCGACTTCGTCTTCGACTCCGAGACCTCATGCCGTCACGCGGACGCGGCGCCTCACAGGCCCTCTCATCTCACCTCAGTCTCAGATCAGTGACCTCACTCTCCTCGTCGTCCTCGAGTCTCGACTTCACCCAGGCCAGGTTCCAGACTGTCACCCTCCTCAGTCCTCACTCAGTCACTTTGTCAGTTTCCTCACTCCTCACCGGTTCACCCACTCTGTCACCCTCCTCACTCCTCAGTCTGCCCTCCTCCTCACTGCACAAGGTAAGAAATTCCTGCAATAAACTCAAGGGTTTCTGAATTAAGGCTTGTCGAATTAGGAATTTCTTAAATTAGGGTTTCTAAATTGGGGCTTTTGGAATTAGGAATTTCTGAAATTGAAGTTTCTGAATTAGGGATTTTGAATAGGGACTCTGAATTTGGCCTTTTGGAATTCGAAATTTCTGAAATTCATGTTTCTGAATTAGGGATTTTGAAATTCATGTTTCTGAATTAGGGATTATGAATAGGGACTCTGAATTAGGGCTTTTGGAATTCGAAATTTCTGAAATTCATGTTTCTGAATTAGGGATTTTGAAATTCATGTTTCTGAATTAGGGATTTTGAATAGGGATTCTGAAATACAAGAGAGATGACACACGGCCTCACGCACATCTGCTATGAAAAATTAGGTTAGAGTTAAAATAGATAATTAAAAATACCCATATTCTCTTAGTCATAGACTCATAGTGGAATGTGGTTACATCTGAGACATTTCCAGAGAACATGGTTTTGCAGAGAACATGTATTCAAATTTTCAAACAGTCTGTCAAAACCATTTACCTAATCCTCATTTTCTAACCCTCAAAAATCTTTTTGACTTTTCTTGTTTGACAAGAATTCAAGAAAATGGAGCTAATTTCATTATATTAATAAAAAAAGGAGGGGTTAGATTCTTCCCCCGTTCCACACAATGTGAAACCGAAAAAGAAAAATACTCTACTAGGTTTGCCAAAAAGAGAACAAAAATAAAATAATATTCCATTAAAAAAAATCAAGTTAACTATTACACATGTGGTGCTTTGCTGTATAAATTATAAAACCCCAAACCCTAATTTCCTTTTTACCTAACATTCTCCTCGTTCTCTTCTCCCTTGTAACGTATGCTAGAAGACATTGCCTATCCTCGGTGCATAGTTCTAGCCTCATACTCACACCCTGTAATACGATAAAACCCAATTCAACAATTACAATTTGCAACATCATGAACAATAACAAAATGAAATGATATACAATTTGATTGCAGGACTTACCCTTTTCGGAGTGGGAAATGAGGGAAGTGCTTACATACATAATACATTGCATGCATGTTTCAACAGCCCTAGCTGAAATATAATATTATTCCGAAAGTCACCACTTGCATTGCCAATCATGATGATAATTGATAAAGCATCTTCTCTTGCCATCGTGGTTTATATTATAGGGCCTACTAATTTAGTCAAAATCATTTGATATTTCATTATTTGCTTACTGTTTGCTTACTGTTTGCCTACTGTTTGAGTGTAGTTATATATGTGAAATTGAAATGGATATGTGAATTTGAAATGGATATGGTATAAAATTGGTATGAGCAAGATTTTAAAATTTTGTTTTTCTTTCTTGAAGCAATGGATGATGTAGAGCAAGATTTTACGAATCTTAGTGATGGAGGGTCAGTGGAAGTGACAATGGGAATGCAACCTGATCATGGAAGTGAAAATATAGAAGATACAAATACAAGTCCGGCAAAGAAAAAGGCTAGAGTGATCAAATTAGGTAAGCGAACACTCAGGTCTCCTGTTTGGAAAACTTTTAACAAATTGACTACTGTTTTTGAAGATGGTAAAAGTCGAGCTCAATGCTTAGATTGTAAGAAACTGGTAATAGATGATAGTCATCATGGGACGGGTAATATGAATAGACATTTGAAAATATGCCCTGGACAGACTAGTGGAGTATTGTCGGTGTCTGAATTTTGTTCCCAAAACTTTGATCCTATGGTATTCCGTGGGTTATTGGTAGATGCCATAATCAAGCATAATCTTTCCTTTAGTTTTTCTGAGTATGAGGGAATTAGGGCTTTGTTTGCATATATATCTCCTGATATTAAGTTACCATGTAGAAATACAATTAAAGCTTGTGCGTTGAGGATGTTCAAAAATGAAAAACAAAGGCTTCATAATTTGTTAGCCTCAGTTGAAGGTAGAATTTGTTTGACATCAGACTTATGGACCTCGCAATGCACTGATGGGTATCTTGCTCTTACTGCTCACTTTGTAGACAAAGATTGGAAATTGCATAAGAGAATTTTAAGTTTTTGTCACATGCCTCCTCCTCATACTGGTGTTGCATTATCTGAGAAAATTAATGCATTGGTGACTGAGTGGGGGATTGAGAAGAAGTTATTTTCTATTACTGGATAATGCTTCTTCAAATATTTCTTTTGTTAGCATTTTGAAGAATCAATTGAATCTTAGAAGTCTTCTCGTGATGAATGGTGACTTATTTCATGTGCGTTGTTGTGCTCATGTCTTGAATTTGATAGTTCAAGATGGACTTAAAGAAATTGATTCTTCGGAGATAAAAATTCGTGAATGCATCAAGTATATAAAGGGCTCTGAGGCTAGGAAACTAAAGTTTTGTGAATGTGTTAAACAAGTAGGGATATTGGATAGTAGGAGAGGGTTGAGACAAGATGTCCCTACTAGATGGAACTCAACCTATATTATGCTAGATAGTGCAATTTTCTATCGATATGCTTTGATTCATTTAGGGTTGAGTGATTCCAATTTTACTAGTTGTCCATCTTCTGAAGAGTGAGATAAAATAATGAAGATTTCCAAGTTTTTGGGGTACTTTTATGAGGTTACTTGCTTATTCTCTGGGACAAAGTACCCCACATCAAATTTGTTCTTCCCTAAGGTCTTTGTAATCCAACTTCAAATTAAGGCAGTCATGAATGACTCTGAAAGCTTCATGAAGAAGATGGGGACTTACATGTACATAAAGTTTGAGAAGTATTGGTCTGAGTACAGTTTGATTTTGGCAATTGCAATCATCTTAGACCTTCGTTATAAATTGCATTTTGTGGATTGGGCTTACAAAAAGCTTCATGGTGTGAATTCGGTTGAATTTACAAAGGTTGATGACAATTGAATGATCTTTTTGGTGTGTACTTGGAAAAACTTTCACATCTTGATAATTCAAATACTGCAATGAATTCAGTGCCTATTCATCAAACAGAATCTGTGGATGTTATCTTTGAGGTAACCTAAGTTTGTTTTTATTTACTTTATATATTTGTAGATTGTAGTATTAGTACTATAATAAGTGTTGAAATTATATTTGAAATTGACATGATGCATGATTTTTTATGATGTAGGATTTTGATAATAATTATGATGGTTCAAGTTCGATTGAAAAAAATGAATTGCAGAAGTATTTGGAGGATAAAAGAATAGATAGAAAAGTAGACATAGATGTTCTTTCTTGGTGGCAAATGGAGCGTTTTCATTATCCGATACTTTCTCAGTTAGCACGAGATGTGTTAACGATTCACATTTCAACTGTTGCATCAGAATCTGCATTTAGTATTGGGGGTAGAGTACTAGATCAGTATCGTAGTTCATTGTTACCAGAAACAGTTCAAGCTTTGTTGTGCACACGAGATTGGCTATTTGGAAAAGGAGGTAATATATTTTTATATGGTATAGTATTATTATTTTATTTCTTTTCATAATTATTTTGTTTAACTTTTCATAATTTGAATGATTTTTAATGTTTGGTTTTTCTATACTTAGTTTATGCGGAAGAGAGTTCTGACGTGGAAAACCTTACTGAAAACATCTTCAACATTACTCTTGAAGGCAATAAATCAAGCCAAAGTTCTAATACAATTTCATGATGATCGATGTAAATTGAAGATTTTGTAAATGAAGGTGTAAACTTTTGAGAAAGACTTACAATCTTAAAAACACAAACTCTTTATCCTTGCACATTTAATATTTGTAATAGATTAGTAGTGTATGTATTATTTTTTTATTAGGCTTTTATTTTTTAGTGTAGATATAGTGCTTGAACGAGAAATGTTTTAATGTTTTGAAGTAATATTTACGTGGCAATGTGTGGTATGTGCAAATTTTAAAAAAATATATTTTTTTCTTAACGGGTCATAACGGGTCGGGTCACTTTACCCGTTGGGTAAAGTGACACGACCTGTTAAGGACCCGTTAAGATAACGGGTGTGACACGACACAACCCGTTAAGATAATAGGTGTTACACGAAAACGACACGAACACGATAGACATGACCCGTTTGCCAGGCCTAATACAGACTAGGATGTGACAATTTCAAGGTTTGGTCCAAAGCAGACAATATCTTACCATGCAGACTAGGATGTGACAATTTCAAGGTTTATCTTTTCACTGATGTGACTCTTTTACCTTCACATCCTCACATGCTCCCTCATGTATGGCAAATTTTCAAGTCAAGCACGTGAACAACACAAATTGTGTGGCGTGGAGTACGTGCTGTCGTTAGGCTTAACACATAGGCCAACTTGCTCATAAAAATGGTTAAGGTTCCTCCATCAATAATTCCTCTATTTATTAAGACATGGAAAATGACAGATCAGGTTTTATACCATTGATAATTCCTCTATTTATTCGGACAGTTCAAGAGAATTATCATACATTCAATTCCGTATAGTATGTTAAGAGCTAAAGACTACTTGAAAATAAAAATACACAAATTTTGATATACATAAGAAATGGATTATTATTGGAAGAACCTAAAGTATTGAACTTATGAAAGAAGATGGATCGGGTGGAGCTGAGACTTCGATAGTTCCTTCGAGCATCAATGCGACTTTCTTCATGGTAGGTCTAAGCGATGGATCCTCCTGAATGCACCATATTGCAATCATCACATACTTCTCCACCATCTTCATGTCATGCATTGCCTCATCGTTATTCTTGAATAGCTCGTGCAGCTTATTCTGCTTATAACAATCGTACGCCCAATCAGCTAGTATCATTTGACCTTCATCCTCTACCTCTGCCTCGAAATGCTTCCTGCAGAAAATAATCTCTAACAACAAAATTCCGTAGCTGTAAATATCAACCTTTGCCGTGATAGGCAACCTTTTCCACCATTCAGGGGCCACATAACCTTTCGTTCCCCTGATTCCAGTTGTGGTTAGAGTCTGGTCGATTCTCAAAAGCTTTGCTAAACCAAAGTCAGAAATTCTTGCAGTGAGAGAGTCATCAAGAAGAATGTTTTGAGGCTTGATGTCGCAATGTACGATTTGGCTGCTACACTCCTCGTGCAAATACAACAGCCCTCTTGCAATTTCCAAGGCGATTTTCCTCCTTTGATACCAGTTTGGCATCGGCTCTCCAAAAAGGAAGCCCGCTAAAGATCCGTTGCTCATAAACTCATACACAAGAATTCGGTGCTCTCCCTCATAACAAAATCCAAGTAGCTGCACTAAATTTCTGTGGTTTGTTCGGCCAATAGCACTCACTTCCGCTTTGAATTCCAAATCATTTTCCCTGACGCTAGTGTCTAAGCTTTTGACAGCAACGCTCTTCCCATTATCAGAGGCTAGAACTCCTGTGAAGACTATTGCAGAAGCACCGCGTCCTAGCTCTTCCTTGAATTGGTTCGTAGCGTTGTTTAGCTCCTCATAAGTGAAATGCTTCAAATTCATACCAGAGATGACTGGATAAGGTTGACACACCCTCGCTTTTCTCGAATAGGCTCGGGAAACAACCAAATAGGTTATCAATGGTAGGAGGAAGTTTAGAACCCCAGAGCCACTCAGGATGATTGATCCGAAAAGGATCAAAGTTTTATTGTCTTTCTTTTCTGTGATGGAACCTCCACCCCATTTCACAGTCGAATTTTGTTTCCCAACTTTTATCAGAGTTTTTCCAGTGATATTGGGGTCAATTGCCCCATTCGAGAAAGGGAGTCTCTTCTTATAACACTGTCCACGGCTGTTGTAAACTGCCACAGCACAAAAACAATCATCTAGGCAATTTTGCCGGCACCAATCCTCAGGTACCCCCTCAAAAAGCGCGTAGTCTCCGCCCCAGCAATTTGCGTAATTCAGCTCTTGAAATTCGAATAGATCTGTCTCCTCCTTTGACGTTTCACCACAACTCTGTGGAGCAAAGTTTTGCTTGCATCCTCTGCGCTCATCCTTCGGATCAATAAAGGAGTAACCATTTGGGCACTGGCAAGTCGGTCCTTGCTCTTCAATCGTGCAAAAGCTGTTTAAGCCACATGCCCCGCCGCCGGTTGATTCCATAATCGACGTGCAGATGTTTGGAGGTACGAATGGGGATGAGGAAGTGGACCAAACCTTAGGCCATCTTTGGGCGCTCGAGCTAGTGCTTTTTGGGTAAACATAGTGCCTAAATACTCCATCATACTCTAGTGTTGCTCTCTGGTAGAAATCTTGCATTGAAACCGTATTGGATGATATGGTACTAAGTAAGCTTCCGTTCTTGGATGCGACGTACATAAAGCCAGACTCGTTGAAG